AGTTGGTTTACCTTCCAGAACCAGACGCTCACACATTAAAACAATGAAAATGTCCGTAAGGAATTGTTTTTTATGATGAAAGGAAGTATTGAGCAGACCTTAAGGATTCACTCGGTGTGTTCAGTTTCCCGTTTCAAAGGCAATAAGATTTTAAACAATGCGTTGAAACGTATTTAAAGTGGTTGCTGATGTGTCACAGCTGTCCGGGGCCGGCGAACATGGGCAGCAGGTTCCTGTTGAAGCTCAGATATCTGACCGCGCTGCTCCTCACAGCCGCTCGGACCTCAGCGGCTGGAGACCTGTCCTGAAGGAGGGCCGGAGAGACACCGTCCTCCACCGTCTGCCCCGAAACATCGCCCTGCAGGAACACACAGCTGGAGGTCACACACGAGCTAATGACACAACATCTCTCTTCTCGCACTATTTCTACTTTCTTTGTATCTGTATATGTCCCATCTGTTTGCACTGGCTTTTGTTTCTACTTGAGATGTTCTTACGTTAGTTCCTTTCCTCCACGGGCTCTGTGTTGGGTTTGTATGTTGACCCTTACATGTCTGCCTCATGGTGTTCCTTTTTACTTCTGTTCTTTCTTGTGAAGCACTTTGTGAATTCTATAATAAATAGTATTATTATTATTATATTGGTGTTGCTCTGTTGGAGGAGCCTGGGACTTCAGCATTTCACTGACATATCTACACTGTAGCTAACGTTTTGTATTTGGAAAATAGTTGAATAACATTTTAAATATATGCATAAACCATGAAATAACATTGTACGTTTTGATCTACATGTTAAAGAAAGGAAGATTTATGACACTTACTGTGTGTGAGGTGATCTGCTGAAGCTCTTGCTCAAAGTCTGAGAATCTGTCGTGATATAGGGCCAAGCACCAGCTCTGTTTGAAGAAACTACACACACACACACACACACACACACACACACACACACACACACACACACACACACACACACACACACACACACACACACACACACACACACACACACACACACCATGTCATGATGAGAACAAATATATCATTCACATTTAAATAACCAAGTGACGGCCAAAGAGATGTCAATATTAGAAGTTGTGTTCGATGAGAGAACAAAGCCAAAC